GAAACTAGATCAATTGCCCCACAAAAACAAATAAAGCTCTCTTCTTATTTGCTTAAATTTTGAGTTTCTAGAATTTGTCTTCTCTACTTTTTTGTATATAGATATAGTAAAGGAAATGGTAAGGCATATTGAGTTTTTTCCCCTCTTTGTAGGAGAATAGGAGACGGGAGTTACATGCAATGATTCGTTGGAAAGAATTGAACAACTTTAACATATATTTGCCTATTGACGAAGAAATGTCCAACCTGTCATTTCTCCCTCTGCCCTTTTGATCCGCAGCGGGCAATTGATATTTCTTCCTTGGAGATATCTGATTACTAGCGGTTGATTGACCGAGTTATAGTCTTATTCCAATTCTTTTCTTAATTTCTTCCAGATTACGGCGACTGCATAGTAAATTTCCCTTTTCGATTCAATGGTTGTATTTTTTCTTCGTTATCCAAGTAGTTGTTTTATGGTTCTCTATTATCCAGTATACTTTGATGTAAACATGTAACATATAATTCAAAGGGTTTGTTGCTTGGACTTGGAGCATCTCTCCTTTGGTTGAATAATTGATCGTTTTCCTTGGAGGCCCATTGCAACTCGATTCCTTCGATGTTAAAATGGAAAGCAGAGTTGTGAGGGGTTGTTCATTATGTTTATTATGTTCATGAGTGACATGATACTAGCTAGCTATATGATGATGATTTGATCACGTAAATAGTATGTAGCATGGGGTTATAAGTAGGAGGGAACATATTTGGGGTTATATAAAGGGCACGAAGAAGAAATAAAATGGTAGTTGTTTTCTAGACGTTTGTAATTACATTGGTTTGTTTCCTTAGCGTGAATTTTGCCTAATTGAATCCCTAACTAAAGCTTGATTTTGGCCTGATTGTTTTCATAACAACTACTATTTAGATTGATGCATCAATCCGATTCACAATGGGGACTCTGCAAGATATAATGACTTGAGTTTTATTGAAGAATACAACTTTTACTATTCAATTATGTTGTTATTAGGTAGAAAAACATGATCCTTTTGGTAGGGGGTATGTAGCTCTCTACAAAATATAAATTATGATTATATGTAGTTTAGTTTACGGAAAACATAGTTTTAATAAATTAGTGACAAAAAATAGTTTTATTTGTGGTTGGTTTTGCTAGAATATTTTCAAGGTAAATTAAACGAATAAGCGGAAGATTGATGATGTGGATGCCAATGTGGTTTCTCATTCTTCCAAAATCACACGAGTAACTGTACTGTACGATATTTGTGGAATCTAGATCGCAATCTTCTCTATTATCATATACAAACATACGAGAAGAAGGGTGAGAAAATGAAAGCTCTTCACTTTTTTTTTATCAATTGAAATATATTTGCAAATTTTAACTTCTTCTTTTGTGTCCTTCAAAATTTTAACTTCTTTGTCACTTTGTGTGCTAAAAAATTAATAATCTCTTAGTTTATATCTTAAATGGTTGATTTGATTCATAATTATAAATCAATAAAGAAAGTACTATAGATAGCTCATTTAATAAAATTAAATTTTCATAAATAAATGAAAGATATAAAAATGTGAAACAATATATGAAATTTGGTAAGTGAGATTAACAATTCAATGTATAATAGTTTCACATAATGAATCATAAATAAAATTATAATACTAGGACGAAAAGTATAATAACCAATCAAAATTTGCCGCCCAACGGACGGGTATAAAACTAGTTAGATAAGATCAATGTTCTATTGGAGAGATGCATTATGAATCCATCTACATTAGCTCCAATCGGATGAGATCAATGTTTGAGTTGGATTGGCTAGTTCAAATCACTATATTGTTTTATTAGATTTGAATTTAAATCCGTTTTGATTCACTCAAATTTGCAAACAAGTCAGAGTAAAACCTAAACTGATGAATAATTTTTATTTAATTTCTTCTTTTAATGATTTTATTCAATTCCGGTCATACATATGTTTTGGCAAAGTCCTTTGCAATAACTAATTTACTATACTTTATATTTATCTACACATCTTTACCAGAAATTTATAGACTATAAGGATGTGTTTGGATAGGCTTATTTAAAATACAAGTTATTTGAAATATATGTATTTAAAATGCATATATTTGAAATGCACTCATTTGAAATACATGTAATTCAAATTTGTTTTTTGGATATTCATTTGTAATTTGTTTGTATTCCATATTTTATAATTTTATATTTTCATTTTGAAATTTTTGGTCACTTACTACAAATTTTGGTAAATTACATTTTTATACCCAAATTTATATTTTCTTACAATTTAGTATCTAAACTTTTAAAATTTTATAAAAAGGTCCAGAAATTTTGGTGGTAAAGAAACATTTATGTACCTTTATATGTTTTTCCCTACACTAAAGTATCTAAACTCTTAAAATTTTATGACTATGTCCAATCTTTTACGATGAGGAATTTCAAATCACTAATTGTTGAAATGTATTTAAAGTTAACAAGTAATATACTAGACATGTATTTGTAAATCAACTCATGAATTTGACATTAATCCAAATACCAAATGAAATTAATTTTCGAACAAGTGATTTGAAATTTAAAAATTCAAATAAAAATGCCAAATCCAAATACTTTATCCAAACGCACCCAAAATAAATCTTTTATTAGATTATGCACAAACTTGCATAGAATATTGTATTTATCGATGTCAGAGTATGCGCTGGCAAATTCTTATTTAATAGCTGTACCATACGATTTAAAATTCCAGAAAAGAAAATGCTACATTAAAGATGACGCCGAGGCTAGTAAACGTGTTAACTTTAGCCAACATTGCCTACGTCTGCGTATAGTAATTCAAACCAAGTCATATCATAAAAAAATAAAAAATAGAAGTTTAGAGCTATGGTCAATTAATTAGAAAATTAATCGATGTCATTTTCATGGACAGTCATATTTGCTAGGTACGTGTCTGTCTTGGGACAAATCTCTAAACTTTGTTTTCATCAAGAAAATAGGTCCCTTTTTTGTTTGATTTTATTTTTACGTATTCTTACCATTAGTTTATCTAGTTGATCAAACCAATGCAATGATTATAAATCTTGTCTGGTCTATCATTTTGTTGTTGTTGGATGCAAAATTGCAAATTAGGATTTTTAAGCCATGTTGTGTCGCCCAATAAAATGATGTAGAGAATGATTCCTTAGCAACTTAGTATGAGCCACTGTATATGAGGTGATAGGTAATCTCTTGAGAAATCCGCTACAACAAACGTAATATTTATGGAATCAAGAATTTATTTTATTTGAAAATTATCAAATGAATTATTCTGGTTGGTATGTCATATTCAATTGTTATTCGTTAGAAATAAATTTCATTAAATTCTCAAATTGCATTTGGAATATGTTCAGAATGGAAGTAGATTTATATTTTTGAACTATACCTTACTAATTTCCAGCATTACAGTATTGTTGTTACTCATTGAAAATTTATCTTTTTAAAATGCAATTGTTCAAGTTGTCATCCAACGGATCCAACCAAACAAAAAAGGAAGACTGTAGACAATTTGAAAATCCATCTTCTATTTTCTTTTACATATGAAGAACTATCTTCTAAAAACATTCACTATAACCAATTTTTCATATGAAAAGAATAAATAAGTTATTACTGTTTAGTTATAGTTGTTTCTTATGAGTACATAGAGGAAATTAATTTGTCAAAATTCGACGCATAAAATCGATCTCGCGTCACAAACATATACCTCTACTTTTATTTAAAATACACATTCACTTCACTCTCAGAATAAAACATTAATTCATAAATAAAATAAATGGGATTTTTTTACAATAAAATAAAGGGACTTGAAAGTAATTAATTAAGCAGTACCCCAGTCTCAAAAAGTGAAAAATTATGGCCAAAGCAAGTTGCATGTTCACCACTTTATTATATATATTATAATTATAATTGAAACGTTACAATTACAATCACAAGGAATACCATATTGGAAAAGAGGGGAATGATTTGGTATGATTGTAATGGTAGAGATAGATATGGTTGGAGAAGGAATCGCACCTTTACAGGCCTTGTAGATGGCCTCAGCATCTTCATGATCAACGTGCTGGCTGGGGGCGATAATGGTGGCCATTCCCTTTCTTCCAATTCAATGATATGATGATATGATATCCCCTCTGCTGCAGCACCTTCCTTCCTGCTCTCTCTCTCTCTCTCTCACACACAACAGAGAATTGGGTGAAGAAGGGGCTTTGTACGAAGAAAAGGGTTATGTGATTTACCCTCCGTATTTATATCCAAATCAATGACCAATAAGCCTCACCTTCCTCGCGCTCCCATTCACACTTTTCTTGTTTTTGTCAGACGTTACTTTCTCCGCCGCAAGAAAAATGCTATGGTTCAAACCAAGGGCAAAAATTAAATTATAGTAATAATGTTACTCATATTAAATATTTTTTAGAATTTAAAATACATATTAATTACATTCAGTGTGGAATTTAAAATCTAGACATTAATTGTTTTTCTCTTTATTATTATTTTTTTTTGCATTTCACTGCTCTCTCTCTCTTTTCTCTCTCTTCCCGTTTTCTGAGTTTCATTGATCCAAGTATGGCAGCCTCGTTGTCGGGGGCTCCTCCGGCAGGCGAGGGTAGTTCCCCAGCTCAGCCTTTTTGTTGTGGCTCCGGAGAATCAGCTTAACTATCGTCATCCTGAGCGGATCAAAGATGGTTTCGTATTCCCAAAGAAGTGAAGGAGAAGGGGGCGATGCGTACGCAAAACAGTCTGATCGGGCAGTTTGTGGGTGACATTCCTCGTCTCCCTGAATTGCAGAACTGGGCTACTCGTCTTTAGGGAAGAGAAGGTGTGATCCAGGTTTCTAGGTTCGGGCCGTGACTATTAGTATTTCAATTCTTATTGCATGGTACGTGTGATTGGGTTTTTAGAGCGGGTCCCTCACACTTCATGGGGAACCCTATTTTCTTTAGGAAGTGGAGTCCTAGAATGCAGCCGATTAAGCCTAAGGTGGAGACTCTTCCCATCTGGGTGAGGTTCTCTGGCATCCCGTTGGAGTATAATTCCCTTGAGGGGTTAGAGTGGTTCGTGAGTACTGTGGGTCTGCCACTTCATATGGATATGTCAACTAGAATTGGGGCTCAGCTCGGCGTTGCTAGGGCTTGCCCGGAGATGAGTGCTAATTAGGGGTTCCCCAGCTTGGTTCGTTTGTATCTTGATGAGGAATCGGATTTTGAGGTGAGTGTGGTGTATAGCCATCTGCCTCCTATTTGTCCTAACTGTGAGATGTTTGGTCATAATTTTCTAAGCAACTGCTACAATGGTAAGGTTTGGGTTCAGAAAGCTAAGCAAAGCAAGAAATCAGATAAGGTTTCAAATCCTCAGGTAGTTTCTGAAGGGGAGGTAGTGAAGGAAGTGCCCAATCTTGTCATGGATAAAGGAAAGGCTATTGTCACTGAAGCTGATTCTGTGAGTTCGTCATCCCTGTTTGAAAGTGGGGGAAGCAATGTATTTCATGTTCTTGGGGGTGTTGAACCAGAGCGGGTTTTGATAGAGTCCTCTCCCATTGGTACAATGAGTTTTGCAAAGGTGGTTCGTGGGTCACCTTTTAGTTTAGGGAGCTCCAATCCTGCTCTGCAAGTAGATCCTGTGGAGTCAGATTTCTCTGCTGTGGCCACTCTTGCAGATCAGGGAGAGACAGCTCCTGAGGCAGAGATGAGGTTCCATTCGTTGGGTAAGAAGAAAGTAGGAAAGGGTGGTGGAAAAGTTGGAGGAGGGATCGAGGTAGAATAAAGAGATGAATACATTAACTTGGAATATAAGGGGGGGGGGGGGGGGGTTGTGATGTTAGTAAGTTTATAGCATTACTTAGAGTCATTAGACAGAATAACATACATATAGTAGTTATATTAGAGCCCCGGTTAGAGCAGGTCAGGCTGAAAAGATGTTGCAAAAACGATTCCCTGACTAGGATTCAAAAGTTAGTAACGATCCTAATGGTCTTGGTAAAGTGTGGTTGTTTTGGAAGAAGGATGTGTCACTCTCTGTGAAGGGGTGGACTGATCAGTTTATACAAGCGTAGGTGAATGAAGCTGTCCCTTTTGTTGCTACTTTTGTGTATGCTTCCAACTCTGAATCAGATAGAGTCCAGTTGTATAAGGATCTGAGGAGATATAAGGTTGGCTCAATGCCCTGGATTATCTAGGTGACTTTAATGCCATAAAAAATCCCTCTGAAGCATCGAATGATCCTGGCTATACTAGTAGTATGGCTGATTTTAATAGTTGGATCTTGTATTTGGAGATAAAATAACATACATATGTTGGCCCTTGGTTCACATAGCTGAACAAACAATCGAGAAACCCTATTGCAAGACGATTGGATAGGAGTTTTGTCAATCTTTCGTGGCTGGATAGGATCCCACATAGCATAATGAAGCTTCTTGACCCTGATGTCTCGGATCACTGCCCAAACCTTTTAAGTTATTCAACTTTTGGATATCTCATCCAAAGTATGATGAACTTCTTCATAAGGCTTGGACTAATAGAGTTACAGGGCCCCCATTATTCATTTTTGTAAGAAGTAGAGAGTTTTCAAGGGGTTTCTAAAGAAACTTAATAAGGAAGAGTTCTATGATCTAATAGAGCGGGCACGTGAAGCTGAAGGTAGATTATTGTAGGTGCAGCAGGATGCTATAGAGAACCCTTATTTTGACTCTTTTCTTGTAGAATAGGTTGTGTTGAAAGAGGTGACTGAATTACATAATGCTGATGAGTCTTTTTTAAGACAAAAATTAAGGGAGGTTTGGCTACGAGGGGTGACTCAAATATTGGGTATTTTCATTGGTCTATTCAAACTCGCACAAGGAGGAATACTGTCAGCTCTCTGGTGGACAATGAAGGGAAAACAATAACTTAGCTAGAGGACATGTGTGAAGTGGCGGTTTCTTTCTATAAAAAGCTTCTAGGTGAAGCTAATCCTTTAGTCTATATTGAGTCTGTTGAGTTCTATGAAAAATTGATGAAGAGGAGACTCCCAAAAGAATTGGTTGATGATCTATGAGCTCCTATTGCGGGGGATGAGATTTAGAAGGTTATCTTTGGTATGAAGGGCGAGAAGGCACCTGGCCCTGATGGTTTCTCTGTTGTGTTTTTATCAATCGACATGGTCGACAATTGGAGGAGATCTTATATCTGATGTGCAATTCTGTTTTGAGGAATGTCGGATGCCAAGAGAGGTAAATGCTACTGCACTTACTCTTGTTCCTAAGGTGCTGAATCCTGTGTTAATGAAATATTTTCGCCCAGATTACTGTTGCAACATTATTTATAAATGTGTTTCAAAGATAATTGCAAATAGGTTAAGTCGTACTCTTCCTAGCCTCATTAGTTGGAATTAGACTACTTTGTGAAGGGCATGGTTATTGGGGATAACATATTGATGGCTCATGAGCTGGTTTTTAAGTACTCTCTTATTCATATGTCTTCTTGTAGCACACTTAAAATCGACCTGATAAAGGCCTTCGATTCAGTGGATTGGGGTTTCATTTTGGGGGGTTTTAGCTGCTATGGGTTTTCCTAGTCTATTCATAGAATAAATCCGTATGTGCATCTCTGCGCGAAAGGGCTTCCGTCAAGGTGACCCAATTTTGCCATACCTCTATGTCATTTCTGTGGAAATCTTTACTTGCATACTGAATGAGGAAGTAAGGCTTGGATTTCTCCCCTATCATCCAATGTGTAAGCATGTCCAGTTGACCCATCTCTGCTTTCCGAATGATGTTCTTGTATTCATGGATGGTTCGAATAGGAGTTTGCAATGTGTTCAACGAGTTTTGGAGAGGTTCAAGCAACTATCAGGTCTGGGATTTAACCCTAGGAAATGCGAGTTGTACTGTGCGGGTCTAACTATGGATCAAAAGGCTCGGATGGCTGAGTGGTCTGGTTTCAAGTTGGGTGTGTTCCCCATGAGGTATCTTGGGGTTCCATTAATTGCGGGTAAGCTTACAGTTGCTACTTTTCGTCCTTTGATTGAGATTTTTTTTTGCTCGTATTAGAGGGTGGAAAGCAAAATAAGCTATGTTGGTAGGGTTGAGCTTGTAAACTTTGTTTTGATGAGTATAACCCAGTATTGGATGACTGTATTCCTATTGCCTAAAGCTGTTCTCGTGGAGGTTGAACGCATCTGCTGTGATTTCTTATGGGGAATAGGAACAGGGGTCAAGGTGAGGGCTAGTATTGCTTGGAACCAGGTGACATATCCTAAAATAGAGGGTGGTCTGGGTGTTCGAGACTTGTGTTCTTGGAATATTGGTTGCTTTTCTAGACATATCTGGTCTATTATCTTGCAGCAAGGCTCTCTATGGATCACATGGCTTCTACGGTATAAGCTAAAGAGCCATTCTTTTTGGCAGTATCAGTCATCCTCTAGATCCTGGTGCTGGAAGCGTCTTCTGAAGCTGCGGGTTAAGGTTCACCAGTACTTTTCTCTTAGAGATGGAAGTGTATTTTGGCAAGGCAAGGAAATGAAACACTATTTTATGAAGAAGGTGTGGAGCATGATCACACCGAAGCTCCCTTCTCCATCTTGGGTGAATGTTGTTTGGAAAGGAACTGGCATTCCTTGAAATAGGTTTCTTGTCTAGTTAATAGCAAAGGAAAGGATAAATATAAGAGCTAAAATGGCAGACTTGGGATACTTGGGGATATGAATTGTGTTTTCTTTGGTCTTGCAGTGGAAACTATTGACCATGTCTTCGCGGGTTGCGATGTTTATAGCAACATGTATTTGAAGCTGCTCGGTAAGGTATTTTGGAGGGCCTCTTATTATTCTTGGCGCCAGGAGTTGGATAGGGTAGTGACATCATTTGCAGGTTCTTCGCTACTACAAGACGCCGGTAAACTATCTGATGATTTTTGATTAGTCACCTCTGGCGAGAACGTTGTCGTCGTGTATATGATGGTGATAAAATGGATTATGAAGTACTATGTAGATTGATTCAGAATGAAGTAAGTGTGTTGCTTGCTGGTCAGGTTAGGGAGAAGTTTTGGTATCTCTTGCTTGTTTGTTTTGGTTCGAGGTTTATAGTTGATATTTTCTCTATGTATAGCTCCTAGTTGACGAGGGTTGTTGTCAACAATCCTTTTTTTATGATATAAAATAAACCAATTCATAAAAGAAATTGCATTTCTCTCTCTCACTTCTGGCTAACGATGTGCAAAGGGTTGGTTTGTACTTGGAACGCACCAAATATAATATTGTTCGCCTCTTGGTTCCATAAATTTTATAAATATTGAAGAAAAATAGACCGAATTAACATTTAAACCGGACCTAAGTGAACCGAACACACTATTGATTACTTTCGTGATCCTAAAATATCTTTCACTGTTGGGCCACGGTTCTTCTGAGTTTGGTCTGGTCCGGTTTGCACACTCCTACGGTCTCTCTTTCTTTCTTCAGTAGAATCCTACCGACCAACTTCATCCTCCAGTTGTCCAACATAACATGCACCACTACAATTAAATCAGTAAGAGTATATTGTATCAGTACCATTACCCAAAAAAGTACAAAAGTATAAAACCACTACCACTATGGGTGTGCAACGGTTCACCGGCCCGGACCAAACTCATGAGAATTGCGGTCGATTAGTGAAAAAAATATGAGGACCAAGGACCGGACCATCATTGTGTTCAGTCCATTTGGTCCGGTTTGGTCCGCTCAAAATATAATTTTGGTCCATCATTTCTTCAGCAATTGTAAAATTCATGTGGAACAAGTACCGGACAACATTATACTCGGACAAAATTAAAAAACTGATGCCTGTCCGGAACGGTAATGCCATTTTCCAAAATTTACACTCTAAAAGACGTAATGCAGTCGAACTAGAGAATCACAACATACCCGCTGGATCGATCATACATGGTTAATGATTTTTATTTCTGAAGTGGAAACGAGTTATTTTTTAGAATTTGAAGAGGTAAAGAGGTTGATTTAATGATTTGACATAAAAGAAAAGATAAGGGTTGAAAATCGAGCCACTCATTTTATTCCCTTCTCCTTCATTTTCATTCTTTCCTCTCCAAAAGACCACACTACTAGAAAATTAGTATTCAACGACCATTTTAAGAGTGACAAAAAATAAATGGTTGCAGAAAGTTGGGGTGCATGAATTCTTGTGTGGAATGCATGTGTTCGATTTTACTCTCTTGTGTTATGAATCCTATGAATGATTGAGGTATATAGTGTGTTTTTTGAGTGATTGTGCACAATGATTTAACTTGATTAGATTTAGGCCACTTGGAGCCTTGTATGTATGCCCAATTTTTATTTTTATTTTGAGGGCTTCAAGTGGGCTATTTTGCTAGCAATACGATTGCTTTCTTTGAATCGTGGATCTTGCTCCCCTTCAATCTTTACCAATGTTGAGGAGAGTGTTGTGCATGGGAAGTATTGATCTGAAGTAGTTGATTGGACCTCTTGAGAGTATTGGATTATGCCTTGCTTGCGCCTTCCCCTTTCACTTGATGGCATTCTTTTGAGGATGTTCTGACTAGGTCGGATGTGACTATGAAAGGTTGAGACGCCCCGTCGTCACTTGGGTCCCATATCCAATGATTATATAACATGTGAGGGAGATTGAGATAAATTATTTGCATGGGCTGATCCTATGTTCGCTTGGGGAGAAGCAAACGCTTAATTGCGGGGCATTTGATAACACCCAAATTGGTTTCATCTGACATATATTATCGAGGCATATATATGATATACCATCGTATCTAGGCCACAGTGTAAGAAAATATATGGTATTATGCATTCTTATA